TGCAGGATCACACACTGATCGTTTCCTTGATTGTCGATATGGGTTTTTCACCCGGCCCAAGAGGGCGCGGTTTTCCTGTATAGTAAGTTGTTGAAGGTCCGGCACGCCCTAGGGCACAGCGGCGTAGGAATAATAATAAGATGACTCCGATCCATCCAGTTCAATCTAAGCTGGGCCCCCTACTCGATTTGAATTGCCAAGACCAAGCCAAACCACCCCTTAGGTGGCGTTAGAGGCGTTGGATAAGTGGGCTGCCGAGCAGGTCGAACAAGGAGTTGTACCGGCTGACTGGGAGGTCTCGACGTTGGGCGAGAGTCCTTTCTTTCCGGGCTGGGGAGAAGTGGCGGAGGCAGCAACGGCCACCTCGCACGCTAATGGTACCATGATGACCCACACAGCCTAACGCATAAGCATAACGCCCGCATCGGAGTCAAGACCGGGATAGGAGCCATCAGACGTCGTCAGTGAAGTCGGAAGCTGGCTGGAGGCCTTGAAGGCCGGAAAGCTGGCTGATTGATCAACTGACCGTTGAATTTACTGACTACAAAGAATTGGTTTTCCCGGCTAAGGTACCTACATTGTATAGACAAAGGGTATGTTTGCTGAGAGTGTACACGGGTGGATACCAGCAGGAGATCCAATTTGCCTTGCCAATTGAGTCCGGCATCAGACTTTCTCGAGACTAATTCACTGAAGGCAACACATCCAGACCTCCGGACATACACCGTAAACTGTACTCTATACCACCTGTCCGTCCTGTGTCTTTTGCGTGTCGATTCCAGGGCTGCATAAATGCGTCGTCCATTCAAGGCATTTCGTGCGCCGTTTGCAGCGGAACACTGACACAAACTCTGTCAGACGCGGACGAACTTCTAGTGGACCGAACTCAACTCGGGTTAGCCGCAGTAACATCGCTATGACAATACACGGAAAAGAAGCTTGGCGAGATGTGCCACGCATTGCCTACGAGTTGCGCTTCTTCGAGATATAAAGCAGGCGGTCGGCCCAACTTGCCGTTCATGAGCGATCCAGTTCTCAGTACCTCAACATTGATCAAGACGTCAATCCAATCTCAAAACCATCCTTAATATGCCCGTCTTTCAAAACGAGCGCGACCGCGCCAGCCTCTTTTACCGCTACTACATCCCCTCTTCGTCCCCTCACCGACCGGCATCGACCGTTGTGCGCCAGCCGCTGACGCTCGTCTTCCTGCATGGCTGGCCCATGTCCTCGCGCATGTACGACCAGTTGATTGTACCGCTGGTTGAGACACACCGCTTCCCCGTCATTGCGCCGGATCGGCGCGGGTTCGGCAACAGCGACTGGGCGACCTCCCTCACGGGCGAGGTGACCTTCGACACCTTCGTCGAGGACGCCGTGGCCCTGCTCGAGCATGTGATGCAGAGGAATCCCGGGCCTTTCGTCTTCGTGGGCGCGAGCATGGGCACAGCCGAGTCGGTTCTCGCCCATTCAGCCAGCGAGTTCCTGAGGGAGCATTGCAGGGGCTTCGTCTGGATCGGGCCCAACATGCCGTACCCCGTCCGCTGTGACGAGTCCCCTGAGGCCATGGAAGCAGAACAGTGGGAGGGGCTCATCCAGTCCTTCCGCGGAGCCGGCGGCAAAGATTTCATCCTCGAGGCAATTCCAGGCGTCTTCCGCTTGGACCTGGGCAACACCGTCGGCCAGAGCACCCTGCGGTTTTTTGAGCGGCTTGTGTGGCAGGTCGATCCGGTCGCCCTGGAGCGGACAGCGGTCATCCTCCAAAAGTCCATGGGGGCAGAGCTCAAGGAAATGGCCAAGGTCGCTGCTGCCGATGAAAAGAATAAGGTGCCCATCTTGATCCTCCACGGCGATTCCGACGCTGGCATGCCGCTCAAGACAAGCGCGGCCGTAGTCCACGAGTTGCTCCCCTGGTCGCAGCTGAAGGTGTACGAGAAGGCCGGGCATGGTAAGTTTCTTTCTCCCGACACAATACTACGCGATAAAGAGGCCTAGGAAGCTGACGGAGCTTGTAGGGCTCTATCTGACACATACTGAGCAAGTGCTCGACGACATTCTTGCTTTCTTGGAGCCGATTGCTGCTCGGGAACGTCAATAAAATGGCGATGTATCACGCAAGCTGACGACATGGAGGGATGGAGAGAGTAGCGCTCGACATTACCTTGACTATATGACCGTCCATTACATGTGACAGAGCAAGGAGAAGGGCGGGATCTGTGTTGAAACAGGGAAACGGATCTGTGTTGAAACAGGGAATGGAGTGTCTTGAGGGACAATCCCACCTCATTCTATCGACGGAAGTTCCCGTCCCTATCCCGAGTCCCCAGCACCCAGCAACATTGCAAGTCGATGTGCTGTCAGGAGGGTCAAGCTTCAGCGAGATATGGGCGCGTTGACCGGGCAAGACAGTAGCGAGAGGGAGCAGAGGCAGCCATCGAGGGTTGGTAGACACATAATCAAGGCTCAGATCCAATGACTCTCAAATCGGCCATTGATTCTTGGACGTGACGATCGAGGGTTTGAACAGTTTGTGGTAACCTCAAAAGATGTGGCCGTTCTTGACAGCGTCGTCACGGCTGCTCGGGACTGGCCGGTGCATCGAGACGCAGCATGGCCTGCGATACTTGATGCTCCAGATGCCCAGCTAAGGAGTCGACCGGTCTTGCTCTAATCTCCATTTATATCCACTACCGACACTGGAAACAGGCCCAACCGCCGCAGAGGAAGTTAGGCCTGAAGCCGAGCTGCGTATGCTGCGCCGCAAAACTGTCGAATGTAACGACAAGCTGACTGTTCCAATGGAAGCTCCCATTCCTAGATGACAGCCATAGCGTAACCGCTTACCATTTTAGATACGGGAAACGGTCAGCACTTGGAAATGGGGGCCAGAAACGGAAGAATTTTGGATCATACGTACAACGTACCTTAAGGAAAGAAGGATCAGTGCGAGCTATCTTTGGCCCGGTTTGACACTTGACTAAGGCATTTATGCGCGGGAAGGGTTACATGTTGTGCACTTACTCTGGTCCGTCTCTCATTTGAACGCGGCCGCATTGATCATAAAACATCTGCGCGCATGTCATTTGGCCTCCACTGTCACATTATTCCTCGCGGGACCCAGATTCTATGAACAAATTTGCCTGCCGTCGTGTGTGGCGGCATCTGCCACTGAGTGCGCGTGCCGCACCTTCCCTGGCATCTGACCTCTGCATCGCGAGAGCTCTTCCGTTTCTCCCCATCTTGTGATTAGCAGAATTGAGTCCCATCGGCATTGCCCGCGCGCCTCGCCTAAATGTACGCTCGTCTCTCACACAACTCCATCCAGCCTTCGGGTCAGCTTCAACTACATTGACCGACCTACACCCTGTCAAACTCAAATAAATCCATTCCTCAATCTCTATCTCTATGCCTCCCGCCGACAGTCTACCAAGCATGCCCTCTCAGAAGGTCAAAGAAATCAAGCAGCCATCTTAACGCACTCTTTGAAGAGGGGACCCAGCTCGCGAGATAACACTCCTCTGGCGTGAGATCAAACTTTGGGAAAGGAACTCAAACAACTCGAGGCGGCCAAAACCAACAAGACAATAAACCTAAAACCCGACGCTGAGTCTAAATAAGGTAGGTCATGTGTTCCCGTGTTGTCAACTCCGAGTTGAGCGTTTAGCTAATAAAAAAGAAGGGGGAGGAGGAAACAGATGAGGAGAAGAAGAAAGCTAAATACGAATAAAGATAGAAGGAGTCATTACGCTGTGGGCCTCTTTCTGTGGTAGCAACAACATCAGTTGTATAGAGATACGACTACTGAATGAACTGGTAGGGAGAGAAGTTTATTCTCGGGATGGATGTCAATTCCCCTATCCAGGGTTAGCTTCATGTGATCTATTATGTACGGCGTAGTACCTACCGGCTTACCTAGTACCTCCTAGCTGAGGTTAAGAGAACCTACCTTGGTGCCTACCTTCAAGCTAGGAATTCTTTATGTCGCTGAACGTGGGTGGAGCTGTTAGCCTGGGCCACGAGCGTTTCTCACCGTGTAATATTACAAATGCTTCAATAGGTATTCTGTAATGTGATAGTAATTCCCGGTACTTGCGTCGAAGAGCTGTAGCGAAACTACGACGTGGATCTTAGAGATCGCGCTGCTTGTGTCCGGGCTGATTACGATCACTTATTGCTGGACCTACGACGAGCTTGATAGGCGTGAGCGGGCAAATCTCGCCGCGGAATCCGAAATGTAAAGCGGCGATGGCTGAGCTGGAGACCAATAACAGCGATGAAACTGGTAGTCAACGTCGGAGCTCCTCAGGAAGCTCCGGCTCGTCGTCTAGAACGACCGACCCCTCAAACATTACTTGGTACTGCGGAAACTGCGACTACCACGACCTGTTCAATCCCCTCCCCGATTCTGACGAGGCCCAGTGGTGGTCTATCTAGACTTGGAATCTGGTTTCATTTCTCAGCCAACTGTTCACCTATTATTAGGTAGCCTCGAGAGGCAAAAAGGGCCGAGAGACTGGCGAAAGAAGCCCGCACAGACTATTACCGGGAGGAGCTCAAAGAGAGACTGAAGGAGCGC